TATATCAGGATGCTCTTTTCATAGAAAAGTTATGAAAATAAAACTATAACCAAAAAAGTATGTATTTCAGGCATGCCTGTGGATTCAACACAGCTGTGACAAAAGGAAATCTAAGGAATGTCGCTCCAGGTTCTCTGTCAAGGGAAGCAGGAGGGGTTATTATCAAGCTCAGTTTCATATTGGGGGTGCCTATCACAGTATTTAAAATAACAAAAGAAATAAATCCATAAAAGTCCACCCAGCATGGTGCCAAGAATGATGCCCCCTCTGGTCCTTTGTACCTGAAATCCAGTTAAAGAAAAGACTGTGGCCCAAACACAGACCCAGATTCCTCCAATCTGGGAAAAACACAATTGAGTAGAAAAATTAAATTAAATTAATTAGGACAGGAATCCATGAGGAAAGTGGTCCTGTAAAGATGTGATGGTGCTCCCCACACAAGTAGTCAGGGAAGGGCTAATTCAACGCCCTTGGAATTCCAGCCCTGTCTGTCAGCAAGTCACCACCAATGGTCTCCCTGACCAGGGTGGGGGGCAGCTGGAGCTCTATGGGGAAGTGCAGGTAGCACACCCACTTTGAAGAAACCATTTTTAAAGCCTTGGGCATCAGAGCCCTTACTCCTTCAGAAACCCACCAAGGATCCTGGATGCTGTCCCATTTTGTACCCTCCAGGTACAGAGTACACACACTGCAGCCCTTTCCCTAATGCCTTTCCTGCCTGTGTTCTGGGGAGTGGGGTCAAGTGTGTCTGGGCCAGCCTGAGAACCCCTCAGAGAGATCAGCAAAGGCACCTATCAGCCTCCTCAGCCCAATGTCCGCTGACTCTGAAGAAACAAGACCTGGACCTTGGACGGCACTAAACCATTAGTGAGACAGGGGCCCCTGTGACTCCATGGCCTCCTACAGCCATCCTTCCAATACGGGCACGTGGGAGCAAGTGTGCACATGAATTCTGGCAGGACATAGGCTTTTAAACCCTAGTGGCCGACTTGGGTTTCCTGCCTCTCAGGGTAACATAAGTCCTCAGCAGTGGGGAGCAACACACTTCCCTCAGCACAGTGGCCAAGCTGGCCAAGCTCAAGGATGAGTCTACCCACTTCAGCTACAGGCCATAAATGATCCCAAGAAAATCAGGAAGGGGTAAAACGGGACATCAGCCATCAGCTCAAGCCTACCTGGATCCCCTTGGGACCCAGGCCTCATCCCCTACCATGACCCCTCATCCCAATGACCCCTGAGCTGCCACTCTGTCCTCGGTTGTGCTGCTTCCTGTTACAAGGCCCCGATGCTGCACACACAGCAGACAGGAGCCCCCATCCTCCCTCTGACATTAGGCAATATGACATCCAAACTATTGTGCAAGCTGGGAGTGGTGGTGCACACCTGTTATTCCAGATATTAAGGAGGCTGAGGCAGGAAGATCACTTGAGCCCAAAAACTGGAGGCCCACTTGGGCATACAGCAAGACCTTTTTCTTAAGAAAAAAAAAAAGTACTATGCAACTTGGCTCCTTTCACCTCCTGAGGAGCTGTGAGCTCACAATTTGGCTTCAGTCACATAAAGGTCACTCCTATAATCAGTTCCATTGCTGTCACTGGGTGTGGTGGCACATGCCTGTAATACCAGCATTTGAGAGGTTGAGGCAGGAGGATCACAGAAAGTTCAAGGCCACCCTGAAGTACATAGTGAGACCCTGTCTCAAAAAACAGAAAAAAATCCACTGCTGAGGTTTTCTACATAATGGCAGCACATATTTAAGTTCCCAAAGAAACATCTTTCTAAATCTACCCAGAGGCAACCCTGTCTCCAGCTCTGGTGGTCCTGTTGATCAGAGCTCTTCCCAGGTGACTCCAACAGAAAAGCCCAGGTAGCACAGGGTACCCAGGAAGTTCAAAGCACTACCCAGCCTTGTCCACAGTCCCTCATCTCTGCACTGTAAAAGACGCTCCCCTGCAGCACAACCAGGTTGTGAGGCCACTTTCCCTGTGGCTGCAAGCTACTCTACACACCTGGGAGGGGGCAACCCAGCTCCTACAGGAAATTTGGACCAGAACTTTCTTGAACCAGCCCCACACCATGGCGTGGAGGGTAGGCTTAGGATAGCAAGCACATCTGGGCTCTGGCAACATTGCAATCTCAAAAGCAGAACTCCCCTAGCTATGGTGAAGACAGTGTCCCTCTCCCATGACCGGTTAGGCTGGTGAGCCATAGAGCCTGCCTTCCAGGCAAAGGTTCCTTCCTGGCTGATTCATCCATGTGGTGGTGGCAGCATGTTTTCTAGGAGGAGGCAGAAAGGGTGGAAGCCCAGGCCCTTAGGAAGGGCACAGCACATAGGAATCCCTCCCTCAGGACGGGGCCTCTACACCCCAAAGCCTGCCTCCATCTGCCCCACATTCCGCAGGCACCTCCAGCCACTCTTCACAAGGACTCTGTGCCCTCACAATGGCCTGCAGGCTGACACACCGGCACTCCCAATGCACTCAATGCAGTGTCCCTCTCAGCTCCCTGAGTCACCCCACCTGATGCCCACAGCCCATGTGGGTTCCTCCTCCCAGTCTGACCCTGGATCTAGATGCTTCTGACCTCGTGCCTGTGATTTCTCTTCCAATCCCAATGCTCTCTCCTGAGCTGGGTAGGAAATCCCATAGAGACCCCAACAATGACCCCTCCTAGAACCCCTCCTGCCTCTTCGACACTGACCTTGCCCACATATAGTGGATGCCCAAGTGCTCACCACCTGCCCCCTGCCCCTCCACCAGTTCCTGATGCCCTCTTCACCAGAACCTCTCCTTTGAGATGTCCACCTGGGTTCACTAACCTCAGCTGCCCTTCACCACTGCTCCCCACACAGTGACCTCCAACCCTAGGCAACTCAGACCACCACCACTATACCCCATTCTACCTTTGGGGGACCAAGCCCCACCCTTGATCTTTAGCCTTCCACCGAGCTCACACCTCCAGGCAGCATCATGGGCCAAAGAACATGCAAGTTGAAAAGATGTGAGCTAACAGAGCCGGGATGCAGCAGGTCCCACCCTGCCCCAAAAGGAGATCTCCCTCCCTAGGGAAAGAACCTTGAGAACACACAAAAGCCCCTCTTTACAGCCCCACTTGAGTCCTGGAAAAAGATGCTGCATCTATTCAGGTGAGAACAGATAGGAACTAAGCCAGGTCAGGATGGGGAGCAGGAGACACAGAAGAGATGAGGGTCACCACAGGGAAATGAGGGGTTATGGAGGCACTGCTGGTGTAGAGGGCGTTGCGGGCCCAGGCCCCGCACAGGTGGCGGTAAGGCTGTGGGCAGTACACGTCAGGAATCTCTCAACCCTACACTCTCCTAGGCCTTGGGGATGGGAAGTTCCACCTCTGACATGGAACAGTGGCCTGGCAGTCAGAGCAACCCACAGCTACACTGTCCACACCACTCCCAGACCCATGAGTGACAGGGTGAAGGCTTAGGTGAAGGCTGGGGCATGGTTCAGTGTGGACAGCCTGCCTGGCATGCCCAGGCCCTGGGTTCCATCCCAACCACCACTACGAAGAGAAGGAAAATCAAATGGACCTGGGGAGCCAAAACTTCTCAGACCTATTATGGTCCCAGGGCTTCTCCTGTCTGCTCCAAACTGCCCTGATGAGCTCTAGAGGACAGGAGCATCAATTGTTCCAGCCTGGACACAGGATCTAGCCTGGAACACACAGAACCGGCACCTCAGGCCTCACTAATTACCCTTACCATAGACACAGACCAGGGACTCCCCAACCCAGTGCTCACCACCTCTTTGGCCTCTGCAGGGCCCCATCCCTCCCACAAATCCCCACTGCCCCCCACACCCACCTTGCTGGCTGCAGTGCCTCTCCATGGGTGCCCAGTCCAAAGCCCAGGCCCTTGGATGCTCACCCTACACTTCCAGGGATGTGGCCAGTAGTATGGCTCAGTTAAAGGTCTGAAGGCCAGGAGGAGCTGGCCACAGCCAACCAAAATGGGTTATACCCATGGAGAAGCCTCTCCATAAGGTCCCAAGACCAGCTGCCTGGAAGGCAAGTGACTCTCAAGAAACAAGGCTGCTGGGTTGCATCCAATACTCCCAAATGGGGTGGAACCCCCACCTGCCTCCCCAGGGCTGTTGCAGCCACTGGAGCTGTTGCAGTGGGGGACATGCTGGGAGGCCATCTCCTGCAATACATAGCCAGCACCCCAGGGAAGCAAAGGCCACACAGGGGCAATGCCTGACAGGAGGTTCCACACGCTGCATGCCCAGCTGCCTTAAGGAATATGAGTGGCCATCATCCATCACAGTAAGGCTTTGGAGGCAACTTCCCAAAACATTCTCTCCACCCCACAGAGACCCTGCTGGGCCTGCAGACCCCAGAGGTCACCCCCACATGGAGAGGAGTCCAGGTGGAGATCAGGAACAGAGGACTTAAGGCTGTATACCTGGGCCAGGAGCTATGGGGCCAGGTGTCTGAGACAGGACTACAATGGGGTGAGGCAGGCCAACTTTGCCTAGGAAACAAAGGGCATTGGACACTTTGAGGTTGACAGTCCTTGTTAAGAAGAGCCCACAGGCTCGGGAGAGGGGTGGGAGCTTCTGTGGGAGGGGCTCCAGAGTCACCTCTGGGGGCAGGGGCTGGACTCTTAGGGGGTGAGGAATAGGCGGTCCAATAGAGTCGGGGTTATGAATCTGTGCCAGTGGCAGCCAGCCTGGAGGGGACAGGAATGCAGCGGTACCCCACCCAGAAGCTCCTGGGACCAATGAGGCCTCCATGGCTTCCCACCCTAAGCACTACTTGTCCCTGCCAAATAGATGTTAGAGGGACCAGGAAACAGTGCATTGAGACTTCCATACGAAACTGTAAACACGAGTCTTTAAAATGACAGAGGCCCCATGGCCCCATCTCTGCCCGAGCACACACAGGGCCAGAGCCCACCGAGCCCTTCCTTCCCGGGCACTCCACAGCACTCCATTCCACGATGGGCAGCCAAGAGTCCACGGCTGAGGGATTCCTGAGATGAAGAAGCGGCAGCGGCCCCCACCCCGTACTGTCACATCCCATCCCGTCGCAAGCCCCGTCACGTATCCAGTGTGTCGCGTGTGGGCGAGGGCCCACGGGGGCAACCAGCCGCCCCTTGCAGTTGGGGCGGCGGCGGCGCATGGCGCTGCTGGGGCGGTGGCTGCAGCTCCAGCGCAAGCGCGGGTGGCGGAAAGTCGCGCACCTGGCGCCGGTACTCCAGGAAGGTGCAAGCCTTGGTGGCCAGAGCCACTACATTCTTCCCCACAAAGATGGCTGAGACTCGGCTGTCGCGGAACAGGACCATGTTGGCAGCGCGCGCCAGCACCGCCACCACATTGACTGTAGCGAGGCTCAGTACTGGGTAGAGCATCATCTTCTGCGGAGCGATGTGCTCACCCTGCATGCTGACCTCACTGAGCGCCACACATGGCAGCACGAGCAGCAGCATGTAGCAGTAGAAGAAAGTAAGGCCCTCGGCCCACAGTGGCAGCCCGGTGCGTGGTGGCTCCCACAGCGTGGCCTGCATGTCCAGCAGGTCCAGCAGGTCCAGCGCAACCCAGAAGAGGCGCCCGCGCAGGTCCTCACGTTTGCGGAAAGTGCGCACGTACTCCATGCGGTCGAGCGCCACCAGCAGCAAGAAGAGGCCAGGCACGCACACAGACAGAAGCAGCGTGAGCGCCTTACGGGCCAGTGGGTCACCTGCGCCGCGCCGCGCCGCCTTGTAGTTTTGGAAGATGAAGTAAAGCTTGATCTCCAGCACAAAGACATAGAGAAACCAGAGGATCATGGCGTAGCCGCGCTTGGCGGTGCGCACCTCGGCACCCACCCACACAGCCACGTAGCGTAGCACCAAGAGGAAGCATACGTCTCCCACCAGCACAATGATGCACACGCCGACCTTGCGCGGGCCTTGATTCTGCTCCACCAGGTATGCGTCCATGACGGCCATGCTGCCTACAATCACCAGAGTGGTCAGGCACACGTGGCGCCGGTCCGGGGGCGGCAGCACCATGGTCGGCCGCCGGGGCCAAGGCCCCAAAGAGCCGCGGCC